CACTGAGGAGTCAACTGCAGGAAAACTGGGAATGTTTTGATAAAAAATAGAACTTAAAAAAAAAAGCAGCCAAAATTGTCTCGTGCTTCTCTAAAAGTTACATCAAAGTGTTTTATATTTAGACCATCTAACAAACAAAAAAATTATTCAAGGTAAAAGTAAAGAGACACAGAATTCATAAAGTTCAAAATCATTCAGGGAGTTGTTATTCCCCCTGCCTTAGCTTAAGTGAATCACAGAATGGTTTGGATTGGGAGGGACCTTAAAACTCATCCAGTCCCACCCCCTGCCATGGCAGGGACACCTTCCACTGTCCCAGGCTGCTCCTAGGCCTGTCCAACCTGGTTTTGGACACTGCCAGGGATCCAGGGGCAGCCACAGCTGCTCTGGGCACCTGTGCCAGGGCCTCAGCACCCTCACAGGGAGGAATTTCTTCCCAAAATCCCACCTAACCCTGCCCTCTGGCAATGGGAAGCCATTTACCCTTGTCTTGTCACTCTATGGTCTCCTACAAAATGATTTTAAATACCCTCCTACAGCATTCATGAAGTTGCGGGAGCTCTGTGTGTCCAAGCTTTAACTCTCTGGGCAGCACAAGGATGCTAAAATTTTTCAAGCAAAACCAAATCAAACTCCACAAACAAAAACCCCAAAAACCTCAATTTTGGGTATTACAAGGAGGATGTAACCAGTAGAAGTTACCTTGATTGCGATAAAAGCTTAAAAGCCCAAAATTAAAAGAGCAGCACTGCATTTTTCAAGCAAACCAAAGCCCAGGGGTAGAAGCACCATCCTACAGACAACAGAGGTGCATAATGTTGGTACAGATTTACCTGCAACTGCAGTGGCTGAGGAGGTGCATGAAAGAAAGAGTGCAGAGGTGGACAGGTATGGCAGTGAGACAAAGTTTGTCCACATGCTGTAGGAAATTCACTCCTAAAACAATCCCAAGGAGAAGAGTTATACAGGTTCACACTGATGCAAATTACTGGCTCTTCTTAAGGATTAACCAAACTAGTAGCTGAGGAAGCAGCAAAATCAGGACAAAACAGCTCTAAAAAATACCTGCTCTTTTACCTCTGCCAAAGAACGAGGCACAGGATTCATGATGAACATGCTGCCTTAGGATTTTAGCTTTTCTATATTCCATATGTTTGTAACACTGCAGTTCTTTGGTGTAGAACTCTAAACTCCATGCCCAGTGTGAGTTGCTGCTTTCCCAGTTTGGGCAGACACAACAATTCCTCTCCAGGCTTGGCCATCAAGGACACCTCACTGCTTCAGGCCCCAGAGATGGAAACAAAAGTGAGTTGGGGGAGCAAATTTGAGGTAAATACCTTCATTACCTGAAGCTGGAATTGGAAGATTAACCCCCAATATGCAAATGGACCAAACTTATAAAAGTGTGAAAATCTGTGACCTGTGGTCCATTTTTGGGTGTAGCCCCTGCCCAAAATGTACCTGAAGGCCCTTCAATAAATAGAAATGCTTTTTATTTCCTTAACTCTGTCTGGCCTCTGATTTTAGGTTGTCCTGAAAAGGCATCAAACAAACCTTCTCTTAGTAATTGCTCAGAATCCTAGTTTATCAAGAAAAATTATGTTGTCTGCACTAATAAATTGGAGAAATGCCATTTTTTATTCCATCTGACATCTCTTAAGATAGTTCAGCTCAATAAATCAGCACCTGGATGCAAGCTCTTTATGTCATGTTTCATTTTCCACGTCTATTTTGCACTTAATCTGCAAGAAAAATGCCAATTATTCTCCATAAAAATAATTTAGTAGTCTATTATCCTTGAGCAGTTTTTCCAAAAAAGACAAAATCAGCACACAACAGGCACAGGCCCGTAAAGAACTGATTTCATTCCTTGGTATTTCCCAGCACCATCAACTGGGAAAGACGACAAATAAGAAGCAGACCTGGAGCAGTCCCTCATAAAACCACCTGCGTTACAGAGCTAAAATGTCTCCTAAGCGCCGATACCACGAGGCTGCCTTTGTGCAGGAAATAGGTTTAAATTTCGACGCTGCATTGTTACAGTCCCAGGCAGAGCTTCCTTTCCTCGCAGGGAAGGCCGCACCGACCGCGGAGGCGGAGAGCGGCTGGGCCGCGCTGCTCCTCGGCGCTCCCGAGCGCGGCTGAGGCCGGGGAGGCGCACACGGAGCCCGGAGGCGCCGGGGCAAAGCCCGAGCACCTCGGGGAGCTCCGCAGCGCCCAGCCCGGGCGGGGAGCGGCCGTTCTCCCCGAGCAGGCCCCGCCAGGCCAGCCGGGCTCTCCCGGCCGGGAGGCGCCGCGCCCCGGCCCCAAACCCCGCGGCCTCCCCGCTCCGCCCGCAGCGCGTTACCTGCGCCCCGCGGGTCAGCCCGCGGCCGCTCAGCTGCCCGTGCCGCAGCTGTGCCAAGATGTTGGTGGTGGCGGCGCGGCCGGAGCCGGGTGCGGAGCCGGGCCCCGCGGCCGCCCCCGCCACGGCCGCCATGGCCTCCGCGCTGGGGACACAAACAGCGAGCGCCGCCCGCCGCGCCCCGCCCCGCCCCGCGCGCAGGCGCGCCGCGCGCCGCCATGGCGGCCGGAAGGGGCCGAGCGGGGCCGCGCTCCGCTCCCCGCCGGGGCCGCGCTCCGCTCCCCGCTCCCCGCCGGGGCCGCGCTGCGCTCCCCGCTCCCCGCCGGGGCCGCGCTGCGCTCCCCGCCGGGGCCGCGCTCCGCTCCCCGCCGGGGCCGCGCTCCGCTCCCCGC